TCATATTGGGACTCATTTTTGACATATCAAACGATCGAATTGGAAGATGACATCTGAAGAAAAGTTATATCCCTTTAAGTTAGTTTTTCAACGCAATTTGAATAACATCAATCGGATATCAGAGGGAAAGTTATGGCCAAATTACTAAAAGTTATCCGGGGGGAAAAAACTTTTGAACTATGCGGTCGCATGGTTTTTGAACCATGCGACCGTATAGAAGGCTCCAGAGATTTTGAGGCAGGAAAAATTTGAGAAAGAGAATCACCAATTTTGCATATTTTGATTAGTTTTAAACTTTAGGGGCCTTAGGATTAATAATTCAAAACTTTAAGGGGGCAAAATTAATTAATTTCAAACTTTAGGTGTTGAAATTAATAAACTTGAAACTTTAAGGACCATAATTAATTAATTCAATACTTTAGAGGATCAATTAAAACAAATTTTAAAACTTTAGGGGCCAAAATTGACCAATTCAAAACTTTAGGGATCAAATTTTAAAAATTTGAAACTTTAGGGGTCAATTTGAATTAATTATGAACTTAGGGGGCCAATTTGAATTAATAATTAAATTTTGAGGGCTTTAATTATAAATTCAGAACTTTAATGACCCGAATTAATTAATTTTAAAACCTTAGGGACTGAATTATTAAATTCGAAACTTAAAGGTCCAAATCTCAATATAACTGAAAGGTTAGGAACTGAAACCTTAATTTTATAACCCTAACCCTAATTGCAACCAGAGGCCTCAACTTATCTAATTTATAGAGGAGGCCCCCGTCCCAAATTTTTTTTAATGAACCGGCGCTGCTGCGTGTGCAGCAGCACCGCTCGCTGTTGGCAACAGCGCTTGTTGCGGGCTGCTGCTGGAATTTTTTTTTTTTAAAATATTTTCTGAATCTTTACTGAAATTTAAATTCAAAAATCCATAAAATCCATAATCCGAAATTTCGAAAATAACAAGAATTATACCGCCAAAATTTTCAAATTTAACAAAATATATAACCAAAAAATTGTTAAATTTGAAAATTTCAAAATATATTTTAAGAACCAAACTAAAACCTTTGATTCTCAATGATTCAACATGAAGAGGCTCTGATACCACTTGTTGAATAATTTAATGCTTTAAATTACTGGATCTTTCATGTTAAATCATCGAGAAATATAAGAATCAAAGCGGAAGCATACCTGAATCAGACATGATTAATGCAATATGAATTTCGCGGTATGATCTTCCAAATGTACACGCAGTCTCCTTTTCCTCTCTGTGATGGGATGCAGTAGAGAATGAATAATACGTTGCGTGTGATCTGGGGACCATAACCTATTTATATAGGGATGCCCTTTGACCTAACTCGGCCCATCATAGAATTAGGATTTGGATCCGGTCTCTACACATATGTAAACCCATACTTTAATTGGATACATTAAGGCCCAAAATCGAAACCTTATTAGATCACTTTAATCGGGCTCAACCGAATTCGATAGCCTATAATTTAACACACAATTATTCACACATACAAGTCCATCTTTAATTAAAAATTCTTACGGATATATCAAGAATAGTTTCGAAGTTGCACAAATATGGAGGAAATGAAAGTTATTTTACCATTTATGTTACGAGAATTTTCTTGTTGATAATGGCACGTCTGGGTAAAAGCATGAATTTGTAGATTGCTTCTCTTAGAACATCTTTAATGATAATGTAAAATTGAGTGCAAATTGATATTTTCAAAATCACTTTTGCAATTTCATTTGCATCATCAGGGATTTAAATCAAAATTCTGCTTCAATGGGAAGATATAAATCCCCTTTTTGTCTCGTGGATTAAAAAAAAAAAAAAAAAAAAATTGTATTTGCCAAAAAATGCAATTTGCATTTTCTTTGCATCTTTCTATTAGAGAGATTTTCGAAAACTTTGGAGATCTAATTCATAATTAGATCAATTTTACACTACCACAAAGAATGCTCTTCTTCTAATCTCAAAAATTATTAGTGGACAAGACCTCAGGGCACATCTCCAAGTGGTAAAAGGGGAGGGTGGAGAAATCCAGCTTTGCTTGAGGCTGCCGCGTCAAGGGTTCGAATCCTGAAATATGGATTTTGCTCTTGGATAAGTGCAAGTGTACAAGCAGCCTTCCACCCGTACCCTTGGAGACATAACCTGCGATTTACCTCTCTCACGATAGTCTAGAACAAGGTCGGTGGGAAACCCTTAAGGTTGGGGTTCAACCTTTAAAAATTATTAGTGGACAAATGTTTGGAAAAGGCTATAAATGACATTTTGGACTAAAAAATGGCCATTCTTGCGAAAGTTGTCAAAACTGAACATAATTTCACTGCTAAATTTTGGCTACTTTTGTGAATTCCCCGTGCAAAAATTTTCCCTTTTTGATTAATTAATTCGACTCAATAATGATATATTGTTCGATATGTTCTAATTTTAAAATATTGATTAATTAATTCGACTCAATAATGATATATTGTTCGATATGTTCTAATTTTAAAATATTGATTAATTAATTCGACTCAATAATGATATATTGTTCGATATGTTCTAATTTTAAAATATTGATTAATTAATTCGACTCAATAATGATATATTGTTCGATATGTTCTAATTTTAAAATATTGATTAATTAATTCGACTCAATAATGATATATTGTTCGATATGTTCTAATTTTAAAATATTGATTAATTAATTCGACTCAATAATGATATATTGTTCGATATGTTCTAATTTTAAAATATTGATTAATTAATTCGACTCAATAATGATATATTGTTCGATATGTTCTAATTTTAAAATATTGACAATTATCCCGAGACACACCAATTAAATTTTTTATGATATCATATCATTACGTCATGTCTATGTAAAATATTTTATAGAAATTTGCCAATAAATGCTGGAAATTTGTAAGTTAAATGAGTTTTTTAGCTAGATGGATGAATACTTATTGATATATGAAATAAAATAATAAACTGAAATTCCCATGAGATGAGAATGAAAGGACCATTTTATTTAAATTGTATTTAGATTATTTCAATAATATCCTATTTAATTTTGATTTTATTAATTGTATTTGATGTATTCATATGCGTTCATCGAATAATTTCACTTGGCTTGGAAATAAATCAATTTGTGTTCAAGTTAAGCAAGGAAATGTAAGGATTTTTTCATTTATGCAATTATAACATAGTTTTAACTGAATTTCTTACCTTTTAGGACTTTCCTAGGGTTTTTATACATGTCTTATAAATATAAAGCTCCTCTATTAGTTTAGTAGAAACTATTATTGCTGTCCTATTGTAATTCTCTCCATATTATCAGTTTATAATACATCGTTCCTCTACGATTAACTCTCTTTATTTTTCTTTACTTTTAATCTTATTTCTTGTTGTAATATTTATTACTTCATATTGTGTCATTAATCTAATTAATTACAATCCCTCCGGATTCAACAGTTTATTCGAGATGGGGCCATCGCTAAGCACACTAACTAATTGTTTCATTTCAACTTGAACAAGAATTGGATAGGTACAACATGATATAGAGGAGTTAAATATGATTGTATTTTAATAGCTCCAAGCTAAGAAAAACCATACCAAACGAAAGGCGTTATGCTAGTTTTACGAGACGTCTTCAACTAAGATTTTGATGAATTTTAAAATATTATAAATCCTAATAAATGTCATGAATTTGAATAGATTTCCACAAATTTCATAATAATCTCATCAAATATGGTGAAATTTAAAAAAAAATAGTTATATTTATTTTTAAGTTTGAAATTCATCTAAACTTTTTAAAATCCTTTTATCAATAAAATCTTAATAAAAATCCACTAGTTATTGAGGATATCAAAATTTTAAAAAATCTCATTTAATTTCATTAAAATCACAATTGGGATCTCAATTAATACCTAAATTAAAATCCTTCATAATGTCAATTAAGGACACTCTCTTACTTATTGTCTATTATTTTGTGCAATATTGGTTAACGATATTATATCATTCTCCCTTGTTAATACTTCCCCGTCCCAATTATATAAGCCGGGTTTCATTTTTCTCTTGTCTCAAATATATTGACTAGTTTCATAATTTAAAATATTTTGTTTTGTTCATTTATCAATATATTATGGTTCAATTTTTTCCCACTTTATATGCCAACTTCTTGAAATCACCAAATAAACACATTCCCCACTTTTTGGAAACATGGAACAACTCTCATTTATTTTTCTTAATATTAAATCATTCACATTCTTTACTAATTCTAACAATAATTTACTACATACATACTGAAAATTAAATAGGGGTAAACTATGAAAGATTTTGGCAAAAATTAATTTTCTAATGACATTAAAGAAGATTTTTTAATTCGTATGAAAAACAAACAAATCTATATAATTGGGACGGATGGAGTATATACTTTATAATGACCCTATTTGATCCACATTATTTGGAAAAAAATACATTCTTAAATAGTATTTTGACATCATTTCAACCACACATTTTTAATAAAATAATATTACACGCAAATTCAAATTTTTTCTTTATTTTTTAATCACAAAATTTTTATCAATACACTATTTAAAAATATATTTTTATGAAAATAATGTGGTTCAAACAAGGGCAACGTGTAAGTAAAAGAGGATTCATCATGTTAGATGAACGCAATCAATTAAAAAGACATTAATTATATATATCAAAAAAATACATTTATAAATAGTAATTTGATATCAATTAAAACACATTTTTCAATAAAATAATATTATACGTAAATCCAAAACTCTTCCTCATTTTTTTACCACATATTCTCTATCAACTATTATTTCAAAATATATTCTTTCAAAATAATCACTTAATTTGTGAAAATTATCTCAGTGAAAACAACACAAGTTTTACTCAAGAATTTAAAGTGCATTAAGAAAGAACTTAGTGCCACAGATGAGACAAATTATGTCAATCTAATATAAATTTTTTTGTCACAATCTATTCATAGCATACTCCTGTCCCTCCTAAACTTCCGCTCTGAATACTGATTGCCCCTCCGTCTCTCCCCCATTCTCTAAACTATTCATTTCTCTCATTCATCACAGCGCCAGACCTGTAATCTGAGAATGGCGTCTGTAAGTTTTTTCATATCTCTTTTATTGTTATTTTTAATTTATTTGCAGATGATCGAATTTATCTGAGAATGGCGTCTGTAAGTTTTTTCATATCTCTTTTATTGTTATTTTTAATTTATTTGCAGATGATCGAATTTATTTGTTTCCTTATATAGCAATTCGATTTCGTTTCATTATGTAATTATTGAATGTAAATTGTAATTGCTGTTTGATTATGAAATGATTTGCTTAGAATGAATTCATTGTTGGAATTTATATTAGAGGAATTTTAATAATAAATTAAGCTATTTATGCATCCAGAATATTACCCAAACCCTGCATCCTTTGAGCACAAATTTAAAAGTTAGAGATAGAGATTTGGATTTCGGATGAAAATTTTTATAGTTATTTTATTCGAAAACACCTAATTAACAACTCCGGAATATTTGGAATTCTGATCAAAATTAACTGGATTATATGATTTTTAAAGTCCAATATATGGATTATTTAGCTGTAAATTAAATTTCATTCTATCATATCTGGGTACATGAGCAGTATACAAGTTTACTGGTTATGTACAATCTGCTGCTTTCTCTGTTATTTTGGTCTGTTTAAATACGAGTAAATTTGCAATTCATCAAACTTTCTGAAACTTCAACGATTTACTTTTTGCCTTTATGTATTATTAGCTTGAAGAATTAGTGGGAATAATTGAGAAATAATCTCAGGAATTCATGACCTCTCTTTAGAGTTAAATTATCGTTGATTAGTTTATTGTTTTGATGCTTAAGATGGACCTTTTTTTCCCCATTATGTTATCTGTTGCTGAAAAATTGCAATTATGTAAAATTAATAAAATATGGTTGATAAACATACACAATGAATTTGGCTGAAGCATGTGGATCTTGTGTTAAGTTATTCAAGAAATCGATGCAAGACTCATGGCTTGTCTCTCCCATGATATAATCCGACCGTAGGTTTTGTGTAGCTGAAAGCTCTACAATGAGAACACACTGGTTTGGTGAATAAGTGACTGAAGAAATATTATGAAACATATGTAATCATCAAGGATGGAAGAATATGAATAATAATGTAGTGTATTCTAAGAAAAAGTGAGGTGGTGTAGATGTATTATATAGAAAATGTATAGTATGTAGAATTATTGGTTTTTCTTAGTTTCACTCTCCCCTAAACGAGGCTCAAACTCGGATCACCTTGTAAGATTTCACTTCTACCACTTGAACTAGGCCTTGATCTATCTGAATAATGGTTAAAATACGTACGTTACAAAAGTGCAATTCTCCATCCTTTTGTATTCTTACAACCTCCACAATAATGCTTCACGAAACGTATTATTTTCACTATCCAACCAAGATCATAGCCAATGAACTTATAAACATGATATTAAACATATTCGAAATGACCATCTATTTTCCATGAAAAATGTCTTCTTCTTTTTTTTTTTTTTTCCACCCAACTTGCTTTTGAGGTATTTGATTGATATTTTTTTCTTCATTGAAATTTTTTTTCCAAAAGTTTGTCACGTAACCTTATTTTTCTTAAAAACAAGGAAAAAATTTTCTTTGGGTAATGATGAATTTTTATTTTCCAGGCAATTTTTTAGTATCTCTCTCTCATCTATCCACCAATAAAATATGGACAAGTATATTATATTCTAGGTTAAAAATTAAACCAATTAAATACATTTAATTAATAATTTGAATTACCTAAAACTTATTTGATTTCTATGCAAATTTCATGCTTACAATCAAATGCTACCTTATATTTCGTATACAATTTCTATGCAAAAAATTTCATAATGTTAGAGAACTATTATATCTACAAATATTAGTCAGAATTGTGATTAAATTGTTAGAAATCTTTATGAGAAATGCTACCTGAAGTGACATGCCTCTACCAACATTATTGCCATATAAAGTAAGAGGATAGTCGCAGCCACATGTATTATATTAAGATGTAGTTTCATTTGGTAATTTTATTTTGTTAACTAAAATATTTATCTGCAGCATGAGAAAGGTCGGCCATTGCCGAAATTTGGGGAGTGGGATGTAAATAATCCTGCCTCTGCTGATGGATTTACAGTCATATTTGCCAAGGCTAGAGATGAAAAGAAAGCCACAGGAACTGCTGCATCTGCTGCACCATCACAGACTGTATCTCAACCAAGCGAATCTTACGAGTATTCTGAAAAGGTACCTATTTTACTTAACCCTCAGCTACGTGTTTGGCCTGCTCAACTGAACACAAGAGAATGGGAGACTGTTCTTTAGTCTTGGGGGAAATTGATGCATTGGTCCTCAACCTATTGCTAGAATAGCAAGTTGGTCTCCAAACTTTTAAAAATAAGCAAGTTAATCCTGAACATTTCATTATATTTTTACAATTAGTCCCAATGGCAAAAAGCATCTATATCTCTCAGAAACCGTTATGTGGCCCTCATGGAAATAGCACCTGCTCAAGTTGTGAAACTATTCTAGCTTCGTAGAGTTATGAGGGTCACATGATTACTTTCAATACTGAGGACTTATTATGCAACTATAACAAAAAGGTTGAGTACCAACTTGCTACTCCGGCAACAATTTATTAACCAATTGAGTAACTTAAGCCATAGTCTTATTTGGCGATGTTTAGTGCAACATACTAACTTGAGAAACGAAGATTTTTATACAGTTTGGTGATGAATTCTGCTACTTTGATGCAGAGAAAGTGGCTTTGCTGTTTCTAAAATGTTTGTGCATGTATTGAAGCTACGAATTGGGAAACAAGGCATTTGATGGAGACAGAGTTAAGTTGGCCGGTCGAATCAAGGGAAGTGAAAGCCTGAAAGGCAGTTGCATTTTATTAATTACTTTTCTACTAAGGTATATGTTACCTAGTTCTTCAGATCTCTCAGTTTTCCCTAAATGCATTTTGGGGAAATGATGATTAACTTTTTAATATATGAGTCTAGAATAAATTAAGCAAATTATCCTGTTAAATCCTTCTACTCTAATTGCAAAAACTATAAAATACTCAAATTAAGAAAGTTAGTCATCCATGTTTGTTAACCCATTATTAATGTTGTGGAAAACAGTCGTTGGCTACGTTGATCTTCACGGTGCTAACCTCGATCAAGGCTGCACTATTATTATACAATGCAATCAATCGAATGTACATGTCGAACTTGAAACAAAAATGAAAAAATCCAATAACTTGATCATAGATCATGAAATCAAGACCCCTCAAAAAAATCAAAAAACCAACATTAGATAACACAAACTATCAATGGGAAATTAATCCTAGGTAAGAAATTTCAAGCAAGACAAAGAAAAACAAAAACTATTACAAAGAATTTATAAGATAAAATTGTCGGATTTCTCGAGGCAGAAGAAGTTGCATTTTTAACCTGATCTTGCTCAACAACTCTTATGATAATTTTCTGGCCTCTCTGGCAATGTCCAAAAGATCCACTTATAAAGTAGAAAAATCCATGGCGATCAAGGGTGAATATGGTGTCCCCAGTATTTGAAAAGAAAGTAGGGCGTGTTGTGTTGCAGTTCTTGTACTCCGTTTCACTAACTTCCATCACTGAATCCTTTCTGTAATTGAAACCTTGATCCAACACAAATTTATCAAGAAAAATGAAACTTACGAACGAAAACTTGATCCAACACAAATAAAAGTGCTCGGCCGATAACTGAATGAAGAAAAGGAGTTAGTAGAGTATTTGGACTTACGAATAATGTCACCGATCTTGAACCGCTTTTCAGAAGCCCAATCGTTGTAGAATTTAGTGTGATTCGTCGGAGGAACGATCCAACCAGCTCTATCACCGACTTGGAACTCGAAGCAATAGACATGAATGAGTGTAACAGAAGAACAAATGGTAAACAGAAGCATGACTCGGATATTGAAATGAGACACCATTATAGTTTCTTCAAATTCTTTTTCAAGTTGCTTTTAATTTGTATATAGAATTAAGAATTTAATCACTTTGCTAAATACATATAGTGCAGTACAATTTGCGGTTATAGAATTAGTTACTACACGAGCACGGGAAAATGGGTCGTGAGGAAGTTAATGGCTACTTCTAGGGGATAATGGGGGTGTTAACTGTTAACGGTCAACCTGATCAACTGATCACTGCCTAACTGGAAAAGGGTTGGATCGGGATTGAACCAATGATAAAAAATAGGAAAAATGCTTGTTTTACATTATGATTAATAGATTTTTTTGTAGATTGATGAGGTAGCCAATTAATTGAATTAGCCACACAGTTGTGCTTACGTAATGTGGGCTAAGGACTAAAAAAAATTTAGAGAATATTTTTATTTATTTTTTTTGGTTGGTATTTCGTCACGTCATTTGTTGGTAAACAAGTCTATAAATTGTGATGCATATATAGCACAATTGAAACCAAAAATTAGAGGTGAACCAGCCAGCTTTGTGCATGAAATGAACGGTTTAGTAAGTATTTTAACGATTTCTATATTTTTTTTATTTTTATTATAACTAGATTGGATTTTGGTTTGGTGCTTGATGACCGTGATGGTCCGATCTGATTTTGACATGGAAACTAGGTTGTCTTACATGGTTCGATTGGAAAAATCATAAATCAGCATGTAGTAAACATACCCAATTTGATGATATTAAGCCCTGGTTTGAGCCCCATTTTTGTAATAAAAATGCATTTTTAATAGTGTATTGATGTGAAATATGTAGTTAAAAAATAAGAATTTGTTTTGAATTTGCGTGTAATATTATTTTATTGAAAAATATGTAATTAAAATGATGTCAAAATACTGTTTAAGAATGTATTTTTTTTTCCCAAAGAATGGGGCTTAAACAAGGGCTAAATGTTTATCAATATTCCAAAGAATGGCAGGGCCGGCCGTGATATTTTGGGAGCTATATGCCAACTTTAAATACAGGGCCCTATTGAAGAAAAATCATCATAGGTATTACTTGATCCTTCCTATAGAGAATTTTAATATAATCATGAATAATTTAATACAGACAATTAAACCCGAAGGTTTGAAGAGGAAAATAACAAAATTCAACAAGAAATACAAATTATAAGCGAAGTTTGGCATACATAATTATAATGCAATGGCAAAGGGGTCTGTTCATTTTTTTGATCAATTCTCATTGCGATAAAACAAAATTGAATGTACATTTGAGCACAAAATAAAAAAAAAATGTTGACTGCGAGATATTAATATAACAAAATAATGAAAATGACGATCAAATACAACTGAGCTTTAATCTTATATTAATTCATGGATCAAATACAACTGATTTTGACAATATTGATTATTAATTTATGTTTCAAAAACTTTTCAGTCTTAAATGGTTCGATCCACTCTTTCTGGTTGCACTTTTGTAAACAGAGAAAATCTGTGGTCCCATTTGGTTCTTATATAGAAGCATCATGCGCGTTCAAAAGGATTCAAGAATCAACCACTTTAATTGAAAACTGAAAAGTACTTTAATTTTTTATTTCCATTATGAGTTTTGCCATTCAAACAGGGTCAATAATAGGCTCTATTGACAGGCCGAGGTGTTGGCAACACCTCAGGCCCCATGCAATTCAAGATCAAGGATCGAGGGATTTAAACCTGAGATTTAAACCCGGGTTTTGTAGCAGGCCTCGCCCATTATAGCCTCCATAATATGATTAATGATTATTTTATCCCACAACTTTATTGGAAACTTTTGAAGCACTCTCAATCCTTTCTATCCATCTTTATTTGATTATATTTTGCACGCCTGAATTTATTTATATGTACGATAAAAGCATAATAATAAAGAAATATATTTTTAATGAAAAGAAGATGGAATCAACAATTTATAAACATAACAATCCAATCAAAATGACTTGGACAGCATCAGCTTACATTTTTTATATATGCCCTACCGGTCAAGGGTTTAGTACCAAACATTAAAGAGAGAGAGAGAGAGAGAGAGAGAGAGAGAGAGAGAGAGAGAGAGAAATTCCTTAGCAAGTCAAGTTGATCATCGGAAGGTTGTAATGCACACATTTAAACAAAACTAAATAGTACAATTTAGTTTTGTTCAATTCGACATCTTGTGAAATAAGTAGTTAAAATTTTCGTAGTCAGTTAATGTAAGAACGGAAACTCCCTACGGTCTTTGATTAATTAGTGTTGACTAGACACTAATGATGCAATGAGGTGATCGCGGATGACTCTGAGTTTTCGTTCTTTGTTAGCCGGATCTTCTAACAGCAAAACCTTGTCTTTGTCTCTAACGCCAACCATATGCAAATATTCATGGTTCTCCCTCTCTTTGCCTTTGAACAATAGCCTTTGCTCTTTGGGTTCCAAATTTGTTAATAATGATAACAGCATCTTCAATTCTCCTGAAAATAAAGAATAAGAAGGAAAAAGAACAAATTTGTTCATATTGATGAATAATGAAACATTAGTGTCATGTTTAGTATAAAAAAGTTAAAATCTTGCTCTCCGGTTTGCTTACCAAATGTTGAAGTTGCTTGGACCGATATATCATGCCATTGTGAGACAGTAGAGATTCTAATTGTGATGACTCCTTCGCCTGCGCTTTCTTTACATTCTCTCTTTTGAACAAGCATGCCTCCAGGACGAAGTTCCCACTTGATCTCACTGGTCAACATTCCACACGACTTGCAGCCTTCACCGTCGCCATGGGTGGCGCCACCAGGACGTAGCTTAGAGCTGCTTCTTGAGAACCTCTTTGACCTTAACTTCATCATTTTGATTTCTCTCTCTAAACTCTAGTAAGAGAAGGGGGAAGAAGGTGTTGGACTAGGGTAATTATATACAGGCGGAGCTAGTATATTTCAAATATAAAAATGTGTATGAAAGGGTTAGATTTCATCTGCAATTACTGAACTATGACCGAAATCTCAACTGAGTCATTAACCTTTAAGATATTTCAATTAAGTCACTGAACTTCAATTTTTTAATATTAAATCTCACAATCCGTTTACTTGCCATATCTCAAATTGATGAAAATTGCTTAATTAATAGTCATATCGCAGTTGATCTTCCATGTAATTACTCTGTCATGCCTATTTATCACCACGTCCCATCATCAAATTGTTAAAATTATTATTTTTTTCTCAAAAAAAAAAAAAAAAAAAAAACTGTTTTTTAAGTTTTTAATTTAAAGACATTTCCATAAAAATAATTTTTTTAAAGGTGTCACGTAGCAATTACGTGGTAGATAAATTATTCTATGATTGTTGATTAAACAGTTTTTGTCAGTTTGGGGATGATAGATGACAAATGTAACTGAAATTAGAAACTAAACTAAAATTTAATAGTTCATTGAAACAAATTAAAGTTTAATGATCTAATTGAAAAATTCAATGACGACGATTAAAATTTACCGATGCATAAAATGTTTTTTTTCCTAATACTACCATTCTCCCTTCCCTTGGCGGCTCAACCGGTTCGACTCGTAGACATTGGAACGTGTTCGAAGCAGTGGCCTCTTAAGAGGTTCCATGACAAGAAAAATACAAGCTGCCCGCTTTGTGATGAATGATAATGTTATATTTAGTTTTGATCAAATTTATAACATTATTTGTGAAGACATGAAATAAGTTCTCTCATTGCTTGATTAGCATTCGGTTCAAATAAAATGATCATTGAACATACGAAACAGACCTTTATGATTATTCATTCTAAAACAAACAATACAAAATTGAGAAATGTAAAGAGATAATGTGCGAATTAGCATTCATTATAACTCATATTTTGATCAAGAAAGTAATCGATACATTCTTGATATGAGATAAAATGGGAACTAATGTTTTGTCCTTATTCTTTCATTGTGATATGTTTATTAATTAGTTAGTTTTGATCAAATTTATAATATTTATTTATGAAGATTGTGACACAATGCATCACACGAAATAGGTTCTCTCTCTCATTGCTTGATTAGGTACCAAATAGAATGACCGCTTGAACATGTGAATAAGGACCATTATGATTATTCATTTTAAGACAAACAATACAAAATTAAGAAATGTAAAGAGATAAAGTGCGACTCAGCATTCATTATAACTCATAATTTGATCAAGAAAGTATTCGATACACTCTTAATATGAGACAAACGGGAACTAATATTTTATCCTTATTCTTGTTTCCTTGTAACTATTTTTATTAATTACTTAATTTTGATCAAATTTATAATATTTATTTATGAAGATTGTGTCACATCGCATCACATGAACTAGGTTCTCTCAGCGCTTGATTAGCGTCGGTCCAAATAGAATGACCGCTTGAACATATGAAACGAAACTATATGATTATTCATTCTAAGACAAACAATACAAAATTGAGAAATGTAAAGAGATAATGTGTGACTGAGCATTCATTATAACTCATATTTTGATCAAGAAAGTAGTCGATACATTGTTAATATGAGACGAACACAAGTAATATTTTGTCCTTATTCTTGTTTCCTTGTAACTATGTTTACTAATTAATTAATTGATATATGATAAGGTTGGTGGCTATTAGAGTAAGGGAGTGAGTTTTAGATTATTTATTTTTCTTTCTTATTCTTATTGGTGGTTGGATAATCCCTAGGGTATCTAACCATGTGCTTAGCTTAGAGAGGTGCAATTCTTCTTCAGATTTGTTTGCTAAATTAATCAAAGATTCATCAGCCATCCAATGATAAGTGACGCGGAGCCTTTAGAAGAGCAAATTATAAGTCAATTGAAAAAAATCATCATTTAGGGTTCATTTTAACATTCTTCTGTTTTGAGTTAATTTAAGTGTATTTTCGTTATTTTAAAGTTTTTAAGTTTTATTCAAATTTAATTTGGTAGACGAATTAAATTTTGTTCAGAATTCATTTCAAAATGAAGTCTTTACGGATTTGTCCACCGAATTAGAGTTTTATTTTGATTAGGATTCATTTTAACTTTTTAAATATATGGTAAGGGGTTGAAAACCCTACAATTATTGATTTTTTCCCCATAAAAAGGTGCATCCGATTGCTAATATTTTCCAAGAAAAATATGTTTTTTTGATCAAAATTCTTAATTTTATACTGTTTGATTGAATTTTTTCTATGAAAAACATTTTCTTACTTATGGTCATGTGATTATATTTTCCTCAAAATTAAGGAAAATATTTTCTTTATGTGATTAAGATTTTATTTTCCAAGAAATCCTCTCTCTCCGTTCTCTTTTATCTACCCATCAATAAAAAATGGACAAGTATAAAATTTTTAAAGCTAAAAATTAAATCAATCAAACACATTTAATTAATAATTTTCACACAAATAAGTTCTAAGCAATTGAATTGCCTAGAAGTTGTTTTCTTTTCCATGCAAATTTCATGCTCGCAATCAACCTTTAAGTTTTTCCGTTATTTGGTGGATTCCAATAATCCCTATGTTCGTTCGAGCGAAATTCGAGCAACACTCATTCATTTATTATAAACAAAGATCCATTTATTATTATTCACGTTTTTTGTCCCGCATTATTAAGTCCGCATAGGGAGATAAAGTTTTAGTATGTTAAAACGTCTATAAGAGTACTCGTTTTGAACTTTTAATCACACATTTCGAACTTGGTTTGACATAGCGAAAACTTCAAGGAAAGAACAAAATATTACAAAACTCGAACTTGTTGATTTGAAAGATCAAAATACCAAGAAAGAGAAAATAATTTGAGAAACTTCACAAAACTTTTACTTAATTTAAAATTCAACTGAATGTGAAAATTAATTACAACTCGTATTTATAGTAAATAAAATTTGATAATAACTAACTCCCTGATAATGATAAGAATAAAAAATAAAATTAAACTTTAAATGGAATTAAAATACTAATTTAATTAAATTTAAGAAAATTATTCAGAATAAAGAAAAACGCATTATCGGAGCCGTAAACAATGGAATTGGGCCAAAATTGGTTCGATGAGTTTTGCCCGTTCGACTGTTTTCACTCAAAATAGATACAAATATCTCCGAAAATGGGCACTTCGAAAATTTATTTATTTCGACTCCGATTCTACTTTTCCACAAAATCTTCTTTTTGTATTACATTATTCTACGTTGAATGTGATACCAACTGATGCAGCGTAGTTGAAGTGATTAAATAAGTATGAACAAACCTGCTATCAAAATTTTGTTAATTCCATACAAATACCCGAACACAATCTCCTTCTAATTTCTATTGATTCCTAAGAATACTAGAAATCTAGACATCAAACTCTTTAATGCACGAACGAATATAGAGAATTAGACTCATTCATTTTTAAATATCAAATACAAGAATTTTAAAAATTGGAGAAATCTCAATAATTCAAATTTCATCCAATTCCCATAAGGCTTACAACTCGTATTTATAACAATAAGCAAAATCTGGATAATAACTAAACTTCTAGATAACGACAAACTTTAAATGATGATAAAAATTAAAGATAACGACTAACTCTGAATGAAATTAAAATCATAATCTAATTAAAATTATGAAAATTAAGGACTAATATTAAAATACAACACATAGATAAAAATTAAATTAAAATTATTCATATTCAATCTTCAGCATTTTGGTTCCAACCATTATGAATGAATGCACATTATGCATGTGTTGAAGAAGCTAAAGAACAAACATAATGGAAGATGTGAAAAATTGTGGATTTTTTGTCTGACATATGACAGCCCCACATGTGTATGAATACACACGAATAAAGTTCCATAATTAGTCGAAGACTTCGGATTTGAGTAAAATCAAAAGAAAACCCATAATACAGTGTCTCAAAAAGAGGCAGCCATGTTGGGACCAAACCTATATAATTAGGTTTACAAGACAAAGTGTGTCGGCCAATAATGGTTTTCATAAATTTAGTATTCATTATAGTGTATCATTCAAGTATGGGTTAAAGAAGGCCCCTACATGATATGTTAGAAGTTTTATTTCTTCTTAATTTGTATAGTGTGATCACGTTATATGACTCGACTAAATATATTGGATAAAGCCCTCGAGGTCGTAGTCGATGAGTACAAATTTTGAATTTTTTGAGAAGTGTAGTTGCGAGTGGTGAGTTTGATCGATTGGAATTTGAACCGATGAATATTAGAACGTCTACACTTTCAAGTAAGTTGATTATGGTTAGACAAAAGATCGTGAACATTGTAGGATCCTAGACTCAACTATGATTTACTAGTTGGAGAGCGCCTCATAATGGCATGTGGAGAGAATTATAAATGAAGAGACAACGTTATTTTCATTTATTATTGAGGTATAACTTTATTGTTGTGATATTCATTGTTTTAAATTGGAAGTTTGACTACTCTAATACTAAGTTTCCTTTTGAGTTTCTATTTTAGTTAGAGCCTATACGACGTAACTTTTAAAAATTTAAAAGCGATTTTTAAAATTAAAAATTACTTTTCAATTTGTTTGGGTAATTATTTAATCTTTTTTTTTTTTTTATTGGTCTTATTAGAATAATTTTTAGAAGGATGTTGTTTAAGATGACATCTTCAATAAATTCTTTTACAAATAGTAAGCTATCCAAAGAGCACTTAATAACTTAAGTAATTTGATATTAATTGGATAATAAAACGAAAGTCCAAAACGAGTAGGTAAATATTGGTTGGTTAGATCAACCAATTTGTTGACTTCACTTAAGTCTGACATGGAATTTCATTATTTCTTTGTGCAATTCCATAAGCACGCGTAACCATGCAAATGTACTTCAAATAATAGAGAAATTATGGGATTTGTTGTCTATGTTTGTTCAATATTAATATCAGCTAAATTTGACTTTC